CACCAAACATGGAGGGACTGTAGAGAAGAGTCAATAGAAGCTTTTCTGTGATTTTTGGTGTCTCTAGGTGCCTGGGGGGACTTTCTGGGGGGGAAGGCTCCTCATGGGTGTATAACCCAAAAGTCCAAAATCCTAACTTCACTGAACTTGGAGAGATTGTGGAGGAGAGTCAGTGGTTCCCTCCAATTTTGGTGTCTCTTAAGTGCCTTGCAGGTCATTTTATAGGGTATTGAATTAAAAATAAATAAATTGATGAATCAGTTCATTGATTCATCAGAAAAAAATTATAAATTCCTAATTCATGTTTCGTTAACCTGGATGAATCATGAATGAAAATGAATCACCATTTTTCTGATTTGTGCCTATCTCTAATTATGGTAGTGAAGGCTGCAACAAGAGTATTGATTGGGATATAATGGAAGTTATTATTAGAGGATGAAGTATTAGATAATCATATGGCTTTAAAAGACAAAAAGAAAAAGATAAATATAGAGTTTGCCCTAAAATAGTTTTTTTAAATCAATATTGTATAAGGAGCAAAAGAGTTGGATAATGAAAGAATTAAGGTCAACTATATTAACAGTAGCAGTGGTAGAAAAAAGTCTGGAGTATAACTATTCACAATAAGTGAATGAGAAATATTAAATTGAAGAAGGGTGTGATAAATAAGAATATTTTATTGTAATCGGGGAAGAATTTGTCTAATTCGTGTTAATAAAGAGGAAGGCTTGTGTGCTTTGCAAGAATCAATGTAGCTTTGGAAGAGGAATGGGACTCCATAATTGGAGGAAAAACTGGTTATATCTCCAGATGGACCCAATGGAGGGGAGCACATTATGTGGTTTAGTGTTTTTAAAAGCTTTCTGTAGTTATGTTCCTTTATAGTTATCATTGTTTTTATTTTTAGATAAATAAATAAAAAAACCCACTTGTAGTTTAGTCATTAAGTAATGTCCAACTCTTCATGACCCCATGGACCAGAGCAGGCCAGGCCCTCCTGTCTTCCACTGCCTCCCGGAGTTGGGTTAAATTCATATTGGTAGGTTCGGTGACACTTTCCAACCATCTTGTCCTCTGTCGTCCCCTTCTCCTCTTGCCTTCACACTTTCCCAACATCAGGGTCTTTTCCAGGAAGTCTTCTCTTCTCATGAGATGGCCAAATTATTGGAGCCTGAGCTTCAGGATCTGTCCTTCCAGAGAGCACTCAGGGTTGACTTCTTTCAAAATTGATAGGTTTGTTCTCTTTGCAGTCCAGGGCCTTCTTTATGGTCCAGGTCTCACTTCTGTACATTGCTACTGGAAAAACCATAGCTTTGACTATGCGGACCTTTGTCGGCAAGGTGATGTCTCTGGTTTTTTAGGTGCTGTCTAGGTTTGTCATCCCTTTCCTTCCAAGAAGCAGGCGTCTTTTAATTTCACTGCTGTCACCATCTGCAGTGATCATGGAGCCCAAGAAAGTAAAATCTGTCACCACCTCCATCTTTGCCCCTTATAAACAAAAACAAAAGTAGCACTGAATATAACCTGAAATTATGGTGTCCTGAAAAATAAGAGAAAAACAGTACAAATTTTAATGATGTGGTGACCTGTGTTTTTACTAGACCTTGGGGTGCTTCCCAGAGAGCCATATATTTTGGCTGGATGTTGAGGGTCAAAGTCACTTTGTGACGGTTCTTCTACAATGTTAGATTTTAGACATCCTTGCACGTAATCTAATTCTACCCCACTGCCCTGAAACAAAACATTTTGCAGTTGCCCCCACTATACTTAATGACACATCAAGATTGACAGATTACAGTTTTCAACTCTGAGATTTTATGCTGGGGGGACTCCTGCTTTTTATAAATGCTGGCCTTCTTTTCTCACTCTAAAAATTACTGTGGGAATGTATTCGCGAAGGCTTTGACAGCCAGGATCTAATGGTTGTTGTGGGTTTTTTCAGGCTCTTTGGCCATGTTCTGAAGGTTGTTCTTCCCAACGTTTCACCAGTCTCTGTGGCCGGCATCTTCAGAGGACTGGAGTAGCTACGAAATGTTAGGAAGAACAACCTTCAGAACACTGCCAAAGAGCCTGAAAAACCCACAACAACCATACTGTGTGAATGTTTGATTTTTGCCAAATGGAGCAAGCTGCCTCGTTTCCTGTCACAAAATCAAAACCTCTGTATCCTAGAGACATCTATTACCAGGAGAACTGCATCTTCCATGCAACCTGAAACCAGGTTTTTACTGAGTCACCCAAAGTGCTCAATATTTCGGAATATTCTTCAAAATGGAATAGCATTTGATCTTTGCTTAAGAAACTATCCTTCTTGAATTGTGCTTCATATTTCTAGAAAGACCTGATCCTGTACAGTATGTCTTTAGTATCTCAACTTCTGAGTTTTCTGTCACTGTTAAAATGTAGAGTTATGATGTGTTTTTTTCTTTCCAAGGCTATTGGACGACCACATCTCCCTCCCTATTGGTCTCTGGGGTACCAGCTCTCACGATGGGGATATTCTAACATTGATGTATTAAAGCAAACTGTTGAACGCATGGAGCAGTACAGCATCCCATATGTAAGTGTGAACTTTGTAACATGCATTTGAATAACTGATAGGAATAAGTAGCTACGCTCACACTAGCATTCAGGCTACTGTTAATTCAGATTGATATAGTATTAATGTTATAATAGTAATTAATAGGATGATTATCTAGCATTAGTATAATTAATAGTATTGATATTAATTATTTAAGATTTATAATATTAAAACAGAAATAGTGGTTTTCAGAAAAATATGTGTGTTCTAAAACAATTCTTTAAGAAACTAGAGTGTGCCTGGGAAATTTCAGAGTAGGAATCAAGCCTTCACCCCATGTTGATGGTCTCCAAGAACCTCAGAATTTTCAGGGTCAAATTTTGGTGGCATCTCATCCTGTGGCATGAGGAAAAGCCTCATTGAAAGTAGGTATTTAGGGAGAAACTGAGAGTCCATGTAAATGGCTTCCTCCAGTTCACTACCAAAATTTTGCAGGCAAATAAGGAACACTCAAATTAAAGCAAGCATTAAGGTTTACTTGAAATGGCTTTTGGTGGTTTGTCACCAACGTTGGTGGTAGTCCATGGGATTACATTAAACATGTAAAATGCTTACTCTGGATATTTTTCCTTATTGTTTTTTGGGGGGGAGGTGTAGGCCATTCCCAGAATGTCCCAAGTGGATAAAATTGATCCTCAGACCTGACAAAGTTGCCCACCCTTCGTCCCTAGGAGGAATAATGTTGGGCAACTCCTACATCAGCTTTTATTATAATAATAGTGTTAGCAAAATAGTCAATATGAATGGTTGAACTTTGCCATCTTTAAAAAAAAAACAACACACAAAACCTCAACAGTCTGTCTCTGTTGCATTCATCAGGATGTCCAGTATGGAGACATTGATTACATGGACCACCAGCTCGACTTCACTTATGACAAAGAAAACTATGCAGGCCTGCCAGAGTTCATTCAAGAATTGAAGAATGATGGATTGCACTATGTTATTATTCTGGTAAATTAGCAACACAACCTTACTAATTGACTTTACATTACCTTTTTAATATAGATGGTTTGCTATTAATTTTGAACAACTGACGCAACGGTTCTCCCCCTTATTTTTGTTTATAAAAGGGTGCCACCTTAGACTGAAAACTTTTTAAAATCACAGTTATATTTCCAGCTTGCTCTTTCCAAGATTTTTTGGAAGAGAGGGGACAGGGGAGAGGGAGAGAGAAGGAGGTTAAGGGAAAAGGGATCAAGAAAAATGCTACATTATGTATTTCTGAAAACAGTCAATGGGATGGTTGTTGTGGGTTTTTCGGGCTGTTTGGCTGTGTTCTGAAGGTTGTTCTTCCTAACGTTTCGCCAGTCTCTGTGGCCGGCATCTTCAGAGGACAGCACAGAGTGCTGTCCTCTGAAGATGCCAGCCACAGAGACTGGCAAAACTTTAGGAAGAACAACCTTCAGAACATGGCCAAAGAGCCCGGAAAACCATTTATAGTGTTGACTCCATTGCACTGTAACGGCCTGCCTGCCTGTGGATAAGAGAAGTTTGTTGCTGCTTGGGGTCCATTGAACTGACTTTTTTAGATTCTGTAAGAAAAAGATGGCATATAGACTTCATGATGAACTGCAGTTGTCACTTAAGCCACAGTCTGCATGGACTACCAAAAAACGCCTTTCTTTGTATTCACTGTTGGTGGTACGTTTCTCTCCCTCACTTTTATTAGTTCCTGTTTCAAGAGGAGCAGCCAGGGAAAGTAAACAGGGACAAGCCACAATTGTAAGTTCACGCATGTTTTAAAGAAGCCAGAGTTCATAAGCTGCCAACAAACCGTGGGTTGACAAGTACTGTACCATTTTTTTACTGGTTAATAAACCACAGTTTGTTAGCAGAGATAGTTTCCCACACTACAAGACAGAAGGTTTCAACATACCCCATGGCTTGTCATAATGGCCGAATACTGTTAAAAAGTCTCTGTTTTTTGTTTTTCAGAAGGAGGAAGAGAGCTCTTAAGCCATCTTGCACATCCTGGAAACCAATTAATGTTACCAGAATGGCTTGGGAGCTACAGCTCTGTGGCCAGATTCTACAACTGGAGAAAAACTACATTAGGTGACTACAATGACATTTGTACATTTCTACTGCAAACAAGTTGCATCAGACAAATAAAAGCTTGTTTGTACTAGAAATTTGCAAACATCATTGCTCATCTACTGTATGTGTTTATTTATTAGAATCATAGTAAGTGCCATTAGGTCATATTCAACTTATGGTGTCTCTAATGGTTTTACCATTGCCAACATCCCCAGTAGGTTTCCATGGCTCAGTAGGGATTCAAAACTAGATTTCCAGAATCCCAGTCTATCATTTTATCCATTCAATGGTTCCCAGCTTTGGGAACCCAGGTGTTCTTGGATGGCAGCTCCCAAAATTCTTCACCACCCGCTGTGCTGGCCAGAATTTATGGAAGTTGTAGTCCAAGAACATCTGGGGACCCAAGATAGGGAAGCACAGCACTAGAAGATTCATCAAACTTATACAACTAGATCCACGCAAGCCAGAGGACTATGGCGTTGAATGTTTTGGCAAGAAAACTCAGATGATGTGGAAAACCATTTGAATTTCAGAAGACTTTCAAAAGCAGATTGTGGTAGTGCTTGGCAGTCTCCGCTTCGAAGAAATGAAAATGAGGGGAATCCCACTCAGCCGATGGCAAATGCTTGGGCTTGTTGCTTTTTTGACTTAGGGCCAATGTATTTAAGGAAAAGACTGAACCAGCCCCCAGATTTCTTTTTAACAAATAGGCCATGTCTCTGATAACCAATTTGTAGTGTGCATCCAACGTTGCACTTCCATATATTTTCAGAACTGGGTACTGTTGCTCGTCTTTATTCCATAGCTTCAAAATAACAAAGCAGTTACTCCTTCTCCCCACAGAATCATGGGTACAATGAGAGGAAATTGTCACAAAAATTAGCAATAAAATTCAAATATCTTTGTGGAAAGCTATTCCAGTCAAACAAAGGGGTTAACCCCCCCACAAAAAAAACTTTCTTGTTGATGTTGTGAGGAATGGGGTTTTGACTCTAAGGCTAGATTCATAATAATGGCTAAATCACAAAAAGAAGAGAATGTCTTACTTTTTTGCATTTGTCTTCTGAATTAGCATTCCTAGTGTGAGATTTGCCCAGTCTCAAAATCAGGACACTACCCCTGTCTGTACCTGAAATGTAGCAACAACAGCCCTGCTCTTCAACATCCAGCCATCTCTTCTTACATCCCAGCATCTGAGTAGCTGCCCCATTCTGCCTCATGGTAGGGCTGGCCCTGCTTAGGAGAATAATATTTAATGCCATTTTCATGGAGTGCATCATAGATCTTATCAGGCAGAGAAACACATGGAATTACCTGTGAAAATTACTGCTAAAAATGGAGTTACTCTATTATTTGAAAATCAATGGGGGCATCTGATTTCAGAGGCTCTGCTATCTGCTGCTTTCTCTCCCCTCTTCTTCTTCTTCTTCTTTTTTTGTGCTAAGAATGTCAGGACTTACTCATCATGATTGCTGTCTTCTCCATTTTTGCCTGTGACTTATTCTGAGTCAGAGCAAAGGCATTGTTTTGATACAAAGAGCTATGCTCTAAAAGTAACAATGGCTATCAAGCAGAATGATAAACATCTATTACAACAGAGGAGCATTAATGATGACGGTTGCCTACCGTTCATTAGTACCCAGTGAAAATAAAATTCATTGCCAAACCAAGTGGAAAATTTAAATTCATTAGAAGGAAGAAGCTGTGATCAAAAACAGTATGCTGAAACTTAACATATTAAAAGAGAGAAAAAAACCTAACATTGTGATGAATCTTAAAATAGTACATTACAGTTATGAGGACTAGGAAATTAATTAATTCAGGCTCCAATTTTATACATACTTGTTTTGGAGTTAATATAATTTGATACAGTGAGATTCATCTGTGATAAAACATACTATTGCTTGAGGTGTTAGTTGCCAATATGGATGCAACCTGGTTTTGTCAAGGGTTTATATTTTACCTTCAGTAAATTCAGATTATTTATACATGGTCCTTGGAGGATTATAGCCACATAAACCTTATTCAGCTATTCAATAAAAGGGTTAAACTTAACCTGTGAACCAATGCAGTGCTATGTCATTTACCCATTTTTTAAAAATCCAGCCTTCCCTGAAGTGGGAGACAGATGAGGAGGCAGAAATGGGCGGAAATCTTTTTTCCTTTCTCTATTTTTTCCTTTATAATATAGTATTATTTCACTGTGGTGACAAGGCAATGCAGCACTGTGTCACTTAGCAAGAAATAAAATTTAAAAATAATAAAATCAGTTTTCTCCTGCTCCCCATAGAGGGGTGAGCAAGTTGATGCAGTGATATGTCACTTATCAAAACAGGGGGGGAGGAATCCAGTTTTCTCTAACTCCTTGCAGACAGGGAGACAGAAGAAGATGTGAGGGCATGGAGACTCAGAGGGAGGAATTGACTAAATGGGGTCACTCTAAAGTGCACTGATTGTTCTAGATCTCAAACTGCATTTTCAGGTACTCCTGTTTGGCCTGACCCATCCTGAGATAACGTTACTGATTAGTCACACTCTAACCCTACCTTGATCCATCCTTTGTATGGAGAGCTCAGCCTGAGGAAAAGATCAGTCTCCACCCGTGGAAACCCTCATTTGTCAGATAGATGGAGGCTGCTCTCTTTGGAGTTAGTATTTCATATGCAATAATGGGATGGAAGGAGGGCAGGGCTAGCCTGTCCCTTCAGCTCAAGGGTTAAAAAGAACCCTTTTATTGTGCACCCAAATGGCTTCTGCTGAAACATCAAGAGTCCTGCGATACCTTAGAGACGCACAAGTTTTACTGGGCATAAGCTTTCATGAATTGTAGCCCACTTCCTCAGATGTATGAATCTTCAGATTCTTTCTTTCTTTCTTTCTTTCTTTCTTTCTTTCTTTCTTTCTTTCTTTCTTTCTTTCTTTCTTTCTTTCTTTCTTTCTTTCTTTCTTTCTTTCTTTCTTGGAATGGACTAGCACGGTTGGTCCTGGGAAATTAGTTTCAGCTGTAGAACCGCACTATTTTGAGGCTTTAGGCCATTTTGTAGGCTGTTGTGGTATAGTCTCATGTGCCCCTCTTTCCCAGAAGTATTTGGGAAGGAAAATGTGGAAAATATTTGTTTAGAGTGCAAATCACTTAGGGCCTTTTTATTCTGCTTTGGAAGACGCTACTGTTGCATAATATATTTTGTTTATGTAGTACAAACATCCTTTTGGGCTAAGACATAGCAGTGGTTCAAATTAGGTGTGTGTGATTAAAATGACTTGTTTTAATCTGAAAACATCCCTTGGAGATTGCTAGCAAAGGAAAGCTTTTGAAGAAAGTCAGAGGCATTTTGAGTAAACTGAAACGATAAGATATAATGCACATAAGATATAATACATGTACACCTTGAGTCTAGAAATGCTAGCTCTTTTATTCTTGTTAAAAATGAAAATAACTTTTAAGATAAACTAAGTAGCTGTTTAGGTTTTAGAAAAAGAATGAAATGAGATTATTATTCTGTGATCAGCCACTAGCTCTCATATATTTATGAGTAGGTCTGTGGTGCTAGAACAATCCCATGAAGCGATCCTAAAATGGGCAGAAATTTCCCAGCTGGCTCTTGTTCAAAAGAGTAAATGTCCCTCATCTTTCAGTAGCAGAAGATGGCTATGTGGCTATAAACCTGGACTTGATATTTGCTAGTGAGTATATCTGCAGACTCAGCAGTCTGAACCTCAGCTCCAAATATGCAGCACTGGCCCATAACGTGCCATCTCATGACAGCAGTCCACCATCAACAGTACCTTTGTGAAGCAGGTATACTGTTTAAAAAGCTGAATGGCACAAGTTCAGTGCAACCTTGGTTGGAAGTTTATTGAAAAATTTGTTTGGTCTCCGAGATCTATGAATGGTTTGCTGCAATAGTGAAAAAATCATCCTGATTGTCCATAGCCCAAGAACTAATTACCTCCAAAGCCCAACACTGGAAATACTCAACCAAATGAAAAATAATTTTAAGTACATGAACACAGCCCCTTGAGTAAAGAAACCTTTTTGATTGGACAGTGATGAAGGTTTTTTTTTGTTTTTTTTTTTGGTCTGGGAAACTAAACAAGGTAGATGGATAAAACTCATGGAAGACACAAAAATGTCAAGAAACAGTCAAAAGTCCTGCAGGTTGTTAAAGTAGCTTGACAACAACCCAACGAAAGTCCTTAATCATGCAAACATTTCAGTAAAACAAACAGACCACCAGTTCCACATTAATGGCAGATCTGAAAATTGCAATAGGAAATCAGAACTTAAAGTTGCAAGAGACTAGCAACTGGAAACCAATGACCTTACAAGACTATTCAGTGTAAGCGAACTGGAAAAGCTATCTGTAGCTGTAGAAATGCCAAGGCAGCAGGCCTGGATGACATCCATGTAGAACAGATCAAACATTTTGATACAGTTACAGAAAAGTGGCTCCTTAATTTCTCTAATAACTGTATTTACTCTTGAGATCCTGAAAATCTGGAGAAAGTAATGGGTAATTGCTGTCTTGGAATTTGATTTAAAAAACCAACAAATAAAAAAAATTCAGGCGGATCTCACTACTCTGTCATCTTTATAAATTTATGTATATTTATTTATTTATTTATTAGACTTATATACCACCCATCTAGAACATGTCTACTCTGGACTGTTGAATTCCTGGAAAGTCCTGGAAAGAATTATTCTTAACCATCTAATGGCAGTAGTAGACCTACTCCTCATCCTGCAGCAGCTGGCTTTAGAGCTGGGAAGAACTATACAGCACCACTGAACACAACCTATTGAGATTTTTCAAATTAAGAAAATGGTTACCGTTTGTTGACTTTTCAGCCACCACTAACATTTTTCATCCTCAAGTACTACTGCAAAAAATCTGTAATTTAACCAAGGATTATAAGCTAAGTAATAGCAGTCTTTTCGCAAAATTGCAGACTTATTTTGGTTAATTTTCAAAGACAACACAATCAATGGAGAACTCGGAAGAATGGTCTACCCTAGGGCAGCTTCCTGGCTCCAATTGTGTTCAACATCTATACCGACAATCAACTTCTTTCTCAAGGCACTACAAGTTTTACTTCTGCTGACAGCCTTGCACTTGCTGCTCAGTTGGACAGCTTTCAGATGGTAAAACACTTTCTAACAAATGCATTAGAAGAACGTGGTGTACGTTATGATAGAAACCAACTTAAAGCCAGCCCTACTAAGACTCAGATTATCTGGAAGGGTGTCCAGCAGATCATAGTTTTGCCCCCAAATATCTAGGTGTTACTTTGAATTATATGTTTATCTCTAAGAAACACTACAAAAACACAAAGTAAAAGATATCTGCGAGGAACAATATTCTATGAAAGCTCTTGGGAATCTAACTGGGGCACCCAGCCACTAGCACTAAGAATGACAGCCTTGGCCCTATGCTACTTTACAAGTGAATATGACATCCCAGTGTGGTATAGTTCAGCCCATGCAAAGCAAGTAGATGTATTGCAAAAATTGTAGATTCATTATTGGATGCTTGAATTCAACCCTTATTAATAAAATTATCTAGCAAGCATTGTGCCTAATGACATATGCAAAGAAGTAGCAGTTAATAAGGAAAGACTCAAAGCATCTACATCAAATGCACATTTACTCTTCAACTACCATACAACCACTCTCAGATTAAAATCAAGGAAAAACTTTTTCAGAACATCTATACGTCTTGAAGGAACAGTGGAGAACGCCAGGGCTCTAATGCAGAAAGAACTACCCACCTCTTTAAATGGTTAGAACCCCAGGAAAGTCTAGCCCCTGGCCACACTGGGACTACTTGGAAGTCATTTAGTAGGCCAGAGATTGGGACTGGCGGAACCAAGCTGAACTTAAGAAAATTGTGCTTTTGCCCTGACCCAGTTCTTTGCCGGAGTGGAGGAGAACAAGCAGCTTCACACCTATAGCAGTGTATGCCTCTCAACAGGTACTAAGGGAGATTTGATATTAGCTGCCCCCAATGCTCTTAATGTTGGGCAAAAATCGCCTGATATATTCATGAATTGAACTGTGGTGCGAAAGAAAGAAAGAAAGAAAGAAAGAAAGAAAGAAAGAAAGAAAGAAAGAAAGAAAGAAAGAAAGAAAGAAAGAAAGAAAGAAAGAAAGAAAGAAAGAAAGAAAGAAAGAAATTGAATTGATACAATAAATCACGCAGGATACTGTATAGCTAAAATAGTATGGCTCAAAGGTGGGCTGGCTCTGGTATTAGTAAGGTATCTATCTCAAGTGGCAGATCTTGAGGGAGCGCAGTATCTCTCACATCATTCCTCCTATGCTCCCTTGTCTTTCCCATCTTTCAGAAGAGAGTTCTGAGGGTGCTGCACCCTGTAAACCAGTGTGATAGACCTTCGCATTGAAGTAAGAGGCAGCTGCTGGGTCAGGCAGCTTCTGCACAAGGACTGCAGGGGTGCCTCATCCTGGCCTTTGCCGCAAGCAGCAAAATGTGTTTGGCCAGCCCCGGATGAGAGCGGCAGTGCTAGAAATAGCCACCACCAGAGCATTGTCATTGCAGTGGAGGAGGCTTCGCACAGCAGTTGGATGGCAAGGGGCAGAGACTGGAAAATACATTTTTGGGGGGAGGGGGGTCACAGCTCCCAGAATTCCACAACCAGGTGGGCAATTCCAGGAGCTGTTGATTCCAAGAGGCAACTTTTCTGAGTTCCGGAAAGGAGTTATTAGGGGACCAGTGAAGGCAATTGAGGGAACCTCTGAAGTACAAATGCTGTTCTCTACTGGATACATGGCAGGATGGTGCTTCTGCAGTAGAAAGGGCAATGAGAAAGGACATTAGTCAAGTTGCTGTGGATCTCAATATAACAATTTTTATATCAACCAACATAGATTTATTGAAAGACTTACAACTGACAGGTGTGGCCTCACCACAAAACTTTCCTTATTGCTTGAGGGGAGCCGTCAAAGCTCTCCCATCACAGGCATTTAAGGAGGGCTGGGGGCTTTGATGGGATGGAGTGCGCAAACTCTCAGAGGGCTGAGAGTTTCACACTTCCCAATATAGTGCATCCTTTCTCAAAGGGGGGGGGCTTACCGAGCATTGGGAAGCCCCCCTGGCTGACTAGGGGGAATCTGAAGGCAGAGAGGCTGAGCTGTGCAACAAATGGCCTGGTGCGAAGGAGAGGGTCTGTCCATCGCCCTTTCATCTAATCTGCATTAAAGGGTACACACACACACAGTCAGAACTACCACCCCCTAAAAATTTGGGGCCACTTTGTTCAATGTTTAAAAGATGTGCTTTACCTAGCTTAACAGTCGAGCCGGCACTGCTTTCATATGTGTTAGAGATATAGTGAATTTCTTTCATTTGAACATTTGGGTATAAAGTTCCCTAATGTTTCACAGATTAGCCATTGCTAGAAATTTCTTTCTTGTGTCTGTAAAGGAAATGTGTGTTTAATTTCATATGTACTTTCCATTTCTTTCAAATTCAATGTTAACACTAAAGTGGGTGAATTAATAATAGGTGGTTAATAGATTTCCAGACTATTGTCATACACAAACAGTGCTCTGAAAACCTCTGTGCTGAAAATATTTGACAATACCAACATTCACTTAATTTATCATGTGCTTTAGAATGTTCCAGAGTTTGGAAGAAATTCTTAAATAATTATATTACATACAGTGGGGTCTCTACTTAAGAACTTAATCCGTATTGGAAGGTGGTTCTCAAGTTGAAAAGTTCTTATGTTGAATCTGCATTTCCCATAGGAATGCATTGAAAACCATTTAATCCGTATCTGCTCTCTTTAGAATGTTTCAGAGTTTGGGAGAAACTCTTAAATAATTATATTACATACTTGTAACAGTGCTTTTGGTCTGTGGGAACACGGGCCTAAGGATGTGCCTTTCAGCAAAACAAGTGCTTTTAGTCTGTGGGAACAAGGGCCTAAGGATGTGCCTTTCAGCAAAACAAAACAAAAACAACAATGATCAGTAATGTAGCTTTTAAAACAGTATAACAAGTACCGTTTATTCATTATTTCCAAAACATTAATGTGAGAGGTCTTTTGGGATGATTTTGGACATTTGGGGCCTTTCCCCCCTCTTTTAAGCCTCATCTTTTAAAAAAATGTTGCTCTAAGTAATGTATTAACAACAAAAAAGAAAGCATTACTAACAAGTGGCTCTTAAAGTATCAAGCAATGAAGAATGTGTTGGAAAAGTGACAAACACTGCCTAATGTGTTATTTTCAAAAATGTTCCAAGGTCTGAATATTTTTTTCAAACCTGGTGTTCCATTCGCTATTGCCTGCTTTTTTCTTTATTTTCTTAGGATCCATTTCTAAGTAAAGATCAACCTAGAGGGAGTTATCAATCCTATGACCTTGGAGAACAATTAGGAATCTGGGTGAACAATTCAGATGGAGTGACTCCAGCTGTTGGCAAGGTATGTGTTTACCTGGCAGTTGTAGGCATTCAGTTATCTCTTGGCAGCAATGTCAAACACAACAACAGTAACAGAAAAGAGAACAAAAACGAGCATCATTCCCTCAGAGTCCCTAGCAATACCATTGTTGTTATTAATTATAACATTGCTCTCAACAAAGTTCCATTCTAGCCATGTGTTGAAGGCGCCAAACAACATGGGAGGAGAACAGAAAATAATGACAAGGCTGCTCAACTCGTCCCTTACTCTTTCCCACATTAAAGGCTCAGGCATTCTGCTGTTAAAAATTCAGACTGCCTAATCCTGTACAGTTAAAACCATTGATCAAAATGGTTAAGGAAGTCACAACTGATTACTGCAGCTGCAAACTTTCCATGCAGAAATGAATCCAGCTGTTTTAGGAATGCAAGTCCCATCAGCCCTAACCAGCATTGATGATAGTGGCAGTTGTGCGAATTGCAGTTCACAATATCTAAGGATGTGTTAAAAGCTGACAGCCTTATTGCAGCCTTGGCTTTTATGGTCTACAGGCCATTTGTGTAGCAGAAAATCTGGACAATGCTTCATAAATCTGATTAAGTGTCCGCCTATTGTCTGTGAAAACACATGTTATAATACAGGTACTTTTTAAGGTGTAGGTGAAAAGCTTCAACAGGTTTGGTGGCCAATTCCCTGGCAAACAACTGATGAATTTTGGCAGCAATTGCTCAGCACCATTAAGTGAACAGGAAAAAATCTTTTTATTTCCAAATAAGCACCCATGTTAATGTGACTGAGCATGCTGAAGAAAGAAAGAAAGAAAGAAAGAAAGAAAGAAAGAAAGAAAGAAAGAAAGAAAGAAAGAAAGAAAGAAAGAAAGAAAGAAAGTCAAATATTTTAGCACTTTTAGAGACTAACAGATTTATTACTGTGTGAGGCTTCGTGGATTAATATCCACTTTCTCAGAGACAGTGCCTCCAAATGTTGTGTAACTGCAGGCAGCTGTCTCACACAATAATACATTCCTTGGCCTTTTAAGTGCTATATATTTTGCCTCCACCCTCTCCCCTTTCTTTGGCCCCTTTAATTAGGTTTGATTTAATTAGGTTTTCCAGGTTGGCTGTCAAAATCTGGCAGAGCAGTATGCCATCAATTTTTGCCACCACTGGGAGAGGGTGGGTCCCATTTAAACAGGCTTGGGAAGCTGCTTGTTTACTTATCCTGGCTTTGAGGTGCCATAGAATTAGTTTCAAGATCAAGAGACTAACATTTTCAGGCTTAAAGCTGCAAGAGACTTATTAAAGGGGCTATCCTTTTGGGAAATGTTACACATTAGTCATAGTCATAGTAATTTATCTCCCTTTTCTCCTTCTTGGAAGAAGTATTCAGATATCATGCTCTGAAACTACATCGTTTCTCCTCAAACTGGCCATTTGAATCCAGCTTTTACACTTAATTGAAGCCAGCAGTACATATTTACAGCTTGCATTATATGAAGTCCTTGAAATTTGTCAAGGCTATTTGAACGAGCCCAAAGGTGTATTACATCAAGATAAGGTGTTTTATATTGTTAAGATCATCAAGGGAGGCCTTTCTTTCTGTCCTATGATTCTCACGGGCATGCTTGGTGGGGACACAGGAGAGAGCCTTCTCTGTTGCTGCTCCCAGACTTTGGAACTCCCTCCCACCAGAGGCTAGGCTGCCCCCACCTCCTTAGTGACAAACTGTCTAGGACAGGTTTTAAACATCAAGATGAGGTGTTTTATATTGTTAAGATCATCAGGGGAGGCCTTTCTTTCTGTCCTACGATTCTCACGGGCATGCTTGGTGGGGACACAGGAGAGAGCCTTCTCTGTTGCTGCTCCCAGACTTTGGAACTCCCTCCCACCAGAGGCTAGGCTGCCCCCACCTCCTTAGTGACAAACTGTCTAGGACAGGTTTTAAAACAAGATGGTTTGCATTTGTTTGTTTCTAAATCCATTTTAGTAATGCTTTACTTAACATTCTTAATGTAACATTATTAATTTGTTTAATGTTTTCACAATTCACTGTTTTTAGCTTCAATATTGTATTTTAATGATATAAGCCATCTTGGATCCTTTCTTAGGAGAAAGGTGGGGTAAAAATATTTTAAATGAATGAATGAATGAATGACTCTTACTCTCATGTACAGGCCTTGGCTCCAGGAATGTCTGTGTATCCAGACTATTTTAACCCCAAAACAGCTGCCTGGTGGGCCCAGATGTGCATTGAGTTCAGAAATGTCCTTCCTTATGATGGCATTTGGCTTGTAAGTTTTACTGTGTCTCTTCATTATACTCATTTAAGCAGCTATTTCTGCCATTTCAAGTATGTAATTAGGAGTGGCCCATAAACCAAGTGGTGTTGGGTCACTCCCAAATTTTGAGGGGGCTGCCCTCCTGTTCTGGTCACAAGTTGCCTATGTTTATATTATATAACCTAACCATTTTGAAAAACAAAATACTTTCTTCTTCTTGTTTTGTTATACTTAGGACATGAATGAACCATCCAATTATTTCAATGGCCAGTACCCAGGATGTGCTCACAACAATCTCAACTACCCTCCCTATATACCCAGTAAGTGGATTTGGGGTAGGGAAGTGGGGTTTTATCTGGCTTTTAGGAATACAGTTTCAGGCTTCTGACTTTAAAACTGAAAACTCCTGTAGATATCACTCAAGGCACATGCTAGGACAAGGGCTACCATATCCTTATTTTATTTTTTTACAGTCATGTGTTTTGACAGTGAAGCAGCCACACATTTAATAAATCAGATTCAGTCTTGGAATCATAAGGAAATTTTGTCTACATCTCTAATATTTCATAATGGGTTTTCACCGATAATAGGACATAACAAGGGTGATACGGAGCTGAGGCTTACAAAGCACCGTGTCAAAAAGCACCAGGAGATCTTGAGCGGCAGCAACAATGACATTACCTGCCACCACCATCTCACTGACGTTCATGTTGCCTCTAAGCATAGCTGCAGTCTTCAAGGTGTCTGAGGAAGAAACAAATTTTCCCCATAACAGCTGATAGGGAAGTAGATTGTCAGTTACATGTGTTGGGAGTGAGCTGTAGGGTGGTTTGCTCTTGAAGGGACAGTTAAGACCCATTTGCTTTGCAAAACCCGTGTTCCTGATAAAGATGAAAACTAGTTTGCTTTGTTGAATATAGCCCAACACAGCTGTTTGTATTTCTGGTTCCTCCTTCCGGGTATGGCTATGAGGACTATTAAGTGGTGCACCTACATTTGAAATTTACTGTTATAACAGTGGGGCTTAGTGTGTCTTTGTTCCCTGCTTAGATGGGCAGCATAGGGGAGGGGATAATGGCTATAATTGTTAATGAGTCTGAATAGAAGTTCTACTTTGACTGGAAAAAAATGGCCAGCCTCTGGAACAATCCTGCCAATTGCATATGTCTACTGACATAGTATCATCTTGTGGTTAAAAAAATAATCATGTTGTCCTTTGTGGAGTGGATGCATGGGAGTCTAGTTCTCCAGCAGTTGGGAAAGAGGGCTGAGCAAAATGGATAACCAGATGGTTTCACCCTCCTCTCCCAGGTTTCTCCTGACTTCCTTGCAATCTCAACACTTTTGACAGAGCAGGTGGAAAAACTAGGGAAAGATGTGGTGTTAGGAATAAACACCAAGAGTCCTACCTTACATGACCCACTTTGAGCTACTGGTGACTCCACTCCAACCTGAAAATGGCAGAAGCCACTACAACCGGGGCCGCATTGCATTTTCATGAATGGGGTAGTCTTCCCTGGCTGAGAATACTCCCTTAGTCGACTGCTGAGCCCTCCTGGCTAAGAAGGATGAGCTATAAATGGTCTCTGTGACATCTACCCCATGGCCCCTGCTTGTTTCACAAAACACAAAGCTCACAAAGGTATCCCAACACGCCCTTTAACACGCTGCCACCAGGTGATCTCTTTATCAACCTATATTTCCCATGAAAGACTGAGGTCCATTCAGCACTGAACTTTTAAACAGAAACAGGCTTATCGATTACAAGGTGTTTAAGAATAGTTCTTAAGCTTACACAAAAGTTACACAAAGCTTCAGTATTTTAAGAATAGTTCTTAAGCTTGCACAAAAGTTACACAAAGCTTCAGTATTTTACTTTAACCTCTTCTATCTTAATTAATACAGGTCACACTCTGACTAGTCACTCCTTAGACACTCTCTCCGCCTCAAACTCCCAAACTCTTTCTTCTCTGTCTTAGACTGAACTCACTAGAGTCTGACTCACCCTCCCTTCTAGTTTCTTTGGCTCCATCTCCCAACATCTCTCATTGGTACATGCCAATAATCTTCTACCTGAGCCAAAGCAGGATGATCGCTACAGTCTTCTGTCCAGACTGGGACTTGAATGAAAGAGCCTTCCTGGCTTGACATGTTTTACCTTCTTCAGCTCAGTTCCGTCTCCTCCTACCTCAGTCTTCAGCAACATTGCTTCTTCTTCAGCTTAGTTCCATCTCCTCCTACCTCAGTCTTCAGCAACATTCGCCCAGCACGATTTCTGATTCATGGCTTCTGGGCCTTCTCTGACAGCTGCCTAAGGCTCAGCCTTGACAAGCAGGTGCAACCAAGAGAAAGCACAATGTTTTAAAGCCTCATTGATTTCACTCTTCCCTGTCCTAATTGTGTTTCTAGAAAACTCCTGAGAAAAATGAGAAAAAATGTAAAGGTTCAAAACAGCAGATTCATCTGCAGTTCTGAGTGTTACAGTGCTTCACTGGTTTTGACAGCCTCTCAACATTTTATGTTCAGTATCACCTGGGAGGGGAAATAATCCTGGCAATGCTTTCGGCTTAAAAAAAAAAAAAAACCCTGTTTCTCTCAGTAACTTGAGAGTGCAGTGTCTCTAGATAGCTTGCCTAACGATACATACACAAAGAATAAGTCAGCTTGCCAAAGGTTAGACTCCTATTCCAGGAAGTTAAATGCCCCCTGGCTTCTGTCAACAATTCAGGAATTAGCCCACTCAGCATTGTTTGGATAAATCCCTGTTATTTTAGCAAACCTACTTGGCAGGAGGGAATTGATATCTATTATATGCTCTTGGCAATGGAACAGCGGTGGAAAATCCAAAAATTGGAAAAACAGCTACTGTATATGGGACTTTCCCCAGAACTACTAACATTGAAGGCTCCACAATTGTGCACTGTTACTTATTTAGGAGTATACTGCTTTTGTGAATAAAATCATTGCTTGAAATATGGTAGTAACATAATGGCCAGAATTCTACTGAAGATTTTTTTGCATAGTTTTGAATTTATGGTAAAATTCCTTGTGGTATATAGTAGTTCAGAGATTCATGAGGACAATAGCTACAAGCTCTTCAGAGCCCACTCTTTCTTATTAACTGGCATTTAAAGTTTCAATAACTCAATATGGACATTTGTAGGAGAAAAAAAAAGAATTAAAAAAATTCTTTACTCACAGTTGCTTGAAAATATGGACATTTGTAGGAGAAAAAAAGAATTAAAAAATTCTTTACTCACAGTTGCTTGAAATTATAGACTTATGTGTGCCTCTTTCTTTACTGCACGTATCCTTGGCAACCAGCCGAACATATCAACAGCAAAAAACAACAACTGACACCAATGAAGGAAAGAGAGGGAAAGAGACACTTAGGAGAGAGACAGGGCTCTCTTTGAAATCAAAGGCTTGGAGGCATAATTAGTGCTGAATAGAAAATCACCTCACCTCAGAAAAGTCTCTCCCAGTCATGCAAACCCCAGAGAGCATGCAAGTTTGCAAATAAAACTCCAAAATCTTTAAGCTTGCATAAGAGAAATATTGACTGTTGCAGCAACTAAACGATAAGGTGTCACTGCATGTTAGTCACTTTCCTGATAATTTACTTCATCAGGCAACTGGGACCTTCTCACTTAGTCTCATGCATGCATGTGACTTTCCAAAAGAATTTTGGCCAATGTTAAGAAAAGATTGAGTAATTATGGAAACAGATCTGCAGAATATACTTAAATGTTTAGAGAGGTTTTGTTTAGAAAGGTGATGTAAAATACTTTGAAAGAAAGCAAGTTGTTTGCCTGTACTGACACTGAATTGCAGCCCTGATAAGAGATAGCAAATGCAAAATGAGAAGCTACCATGAATGGATTCAAATACAGTGATGCCTTGCATTACGACGTTAATTCGTGCCAGCGAAAATCGCTGTAAAACGAAAACGTTGTAATGCAAAAATAAAAAGCCCATTGAAACCCCTTCAATGCATTCCAGTGGGCTGGAAACTCACCGTCCAGCAAAGATCCTCCATAGGGCGGCCATTTTTGGTGCCTGTGCAGCGAGGAATCCATCCCAGAAAACAGCGGGGAGCCATTTTATTTACCCAGTGGCCATTTTGAAACCGCCGATCAGCTGCTCTAAAATCGTTGTTTTGTGAAGAATCGGTTCCCAAAGCAGGGAACCGATCATCGCAAAGCGAAAAACCCCTATTCAGACCATCGTTTTGCTATCGCAATTGTGATCGCAAAAAGATTGTCTTAATGCAGTTTTGTTGTAATGCGGGGCAATCGTAAAGCGAGGCATGACTGTATCATGTAACAAAGTTGTTTCTAACACTATGGTACTTATTTCTACAGTTAAGAAGTTGGTGAAATTAAATAATTTAGTTAAAAATCTTCTTTAGATGTTCATTGTATGTGAAGTGTTCATCTAGATCTCTGTTCATCCTCCTTCCTCGTGTCATGTTATACATTGCAGACAGTCTTGTCATCAAAAGAAAAAAAACCTTAAGTGCTGAAGACCTGTGATTGTTAGAACATAACTTTTTCACATCTTCCATAGTTTTTTATGTGACTGATCAATAGGAGGCAAATTCAAGTTCCATTTGCAAGTACAGTATGATTGTTCAGACATGAAGGTCTGCTAGAATCAAGTGTCTGGAACGTGAACAGGATTACAGCTGCTAATTTTGAACTTTCTATAGTACATAGGTTGATTCCTAGATGGCAGTTGTGAAGGCTAATGCCAAGCACTGTTTTTACTGAATAAAATCAGTGTTTACATAATTTAAGCATGATCCAGCCCAAACTACTACTGAAAAAGAGCACCCCTGAACGCAGTAGGGGATGCACTGTCCCAGTAACCTCTACATATTTTAAATGGTCATGTCATGAGTTGTTCATATGTGTGAGATGTAACTTACTAAATCCTACACATCCCGTGTGTGTCACTGGAAATAAAATGCTCTGATTTCAGTGGTACGTTATGTCAGAATCGTATGTTTGGAACCTTAGGACAAGATAGAAACGCACCAATAAATATGATTTTTCAGTGATTATACCTGGTGGAAATTAATTCCGAACCTCTTGCATAAAATAGGATCTCTACTATTTTGTTCCAGTTGACTGAAAATGGGAAATTATATTGACTCTAAACAAAGATATACCAAATGTGCATAATTCATTTGAAGAACAAACCTTGTCTGGCAAAATTTCACTTTCTGATCTAAAATAAAATGCATTTTAACCCATGACAACAACACATTAAGATATCAGATGTTAGTCTTTAAAAAGAGTTGTAAAATGAACCTAATTAACCAGGGTTTGGAAGCTGAGTATCACTGCAGAAATAGAGGTATTCAAAATCACAACATTTGGATTCATTTGTGGTAGTTTGTCATTACACATTTCTTGTCTCTTATTTGGACCCCAATTAAGCATCAATGCAAGCATCACTTTGCTTTGTGGCTGGCTGCAGATGCTGTTTCTCCCAGCTGCAGGTGAACTGCCAGCCAGTCAGACTTTTATGGAAACAGATGGTGAATGGAAATATACACAGGAATAATTTGTCTTCAGTTCTTTGTCACCCTCTTTGTCTGTTTCTCATTACAAGGACTTCTGCTCTGGCACAATAGTTAACACAAACCATTTCCTGCATATCTATGGTTTCCTGTAGGAAACTTGGTTTTATAGCAGGGAATTTTGAGGCAGAAACAGACATTAGAGATAGGCTGAAATTAGAGCTGAAAGCACATTAAGAGGACAGCAAGGTGACTGAAGCAGCCTTTCTTTGTTTGGGAAATCATCTCAAAGGAATCCTGGGTTTAAGTCCTGAAGATTAATCACCAAGCAAAGCTAACTCAGTTACACAGTCTTGGATAAGGGAGTGGCTTCTGTGTGACACTTGGATAACCCTCATTAAAGAATTACGTTCTCCCAGTCCCACAATTCACTCAGTGCAGGTGTGTTGTTGTTTTTTTTAAAAATCCAGAGGAAGAGGGTTAAATAGCCACACATCTCAAGCAATCCACTGAACTTCAAAGTTTATTTTTTATGAATAGAGTCTGCATGTATTTTAATAGGGAATGAAAATGTGGATGGTCTTGCTATATAAGGGTTAGTCTTCATTATTACTTTAATTCCCTTCTAGGAATTTCTGGTTCTTCTCTCTTTGAAAGTACATTATGTCCAGATTCTAAAACTTATCTGGGATCACTATATGACACACATTCCCTGTTTGGATGGTCAGAAGCAAAACCCACTTACAGGTAAATTTTCTGTTTTGTGCTGTTTAAGCTTTTGTGCTGTTTTTATTGAAGTTGATTGTAATGCAAGAATTACTGATACTACCCGAAAACCTGAAATAGCTTCTGCTTAGAAATGCGTTGTTCACTTCTCATTCCTCAGTCTTTTAGTTCAGGGTGTTAACCTGGGCACTTAGAATGACATGGGTCACTCAGCTACATGTCTTGAAATAAGAAGATGACTGTGGACCCTGCCTGAGGCAAGTAGTGGTGTGGGGGGGGGTAGGTGTAGGCTGGCAATTTTAAACCAAACCCACAATTTGATAACTGCCCTGAAGTCTTTGAATTTTTTTAAAATGTGATATTAATTTTTTGTTTTCCAATTTTAGTTGTTTTAGGTAGGAACCCAGCTGAGACAAAGTTAAGTAATTTTCAAGTGTATCAATTGTAACATAACAGTGATCAAGTTAAAGTGAGCATTGGCCGCTTCTTTGCGCAGAAGGGGTACATGTAGGGTTTGGAGGTAAATACCATTAATACATATGTCTGAGCTGATGGCAGGTAAAACCCAGACTCTCCCCTCTCTCACACATATTATCCTTCTCTTCTCTTTTTCCACACACGAACAATGCCTTCCCCATCACTCAGTCCTACATACAAAAATAGGGACAGACAGATGGGCGAATACAGCCCGTCCTCACCATAGATGCACATATGTGTGTGTGCACATGTGCACACACTCAAATACTCATGGAAGTCTACACACACACACATTATCTTTTTTCTGCTGCTGGAATAATTGTAAGGATTATTTAGTGTTCTGTCTTATTGAGCACAGCAGCATAGTTCAGAGCTCATAACTATTGATAAGCAATCATGCTGGAGACAAGCATTAAGGGGAAAAAAGGAAAATCATGGCTGAAATGCTGTTGCACTGTGCTGCATGTGCAGTGATGTTGACATCATGCTCAATGGAAAATCACTGCTGATAAAGGCAATTTCATGTTACTCATATACAATGCAACGAAATTTCATGCACTCTGAAATCCTCAAAGGAAGCTTTTAATCAGTTCTTATTTGTTCTTATTGCTGATGTCACCACTATTATGCACGCAGAGTGTCATGAGTTCAGCTGAAGATCCGGAACCTGAGGGGTTAACTGTAGCTGAGGAGAATGCTGAACAATTAGAAGCACAGACAGCTGAATCGCCCCCAGATTCTCCTCCCCCAGTAGCCAGGGTAAGGGCCAGGCTTCAACAAAGACTTATGACACAAACGTCAGAGGATCGCCTGAAGGCTGCCCGCAGACACAAATGTCAGAGGATCGCCTGAAGGCTGCCCGCAGAAACATCGGGTCAGCTAGTCCTGAATTCTGACAGGATGAAAAGGCTTCCAGCAGTTCAATGACTGTTTTTACTATATAAGCAGCTCCCAGACAGCTGGGAAGCTCATGGAAGCAACAAGTCAAATCTCTGGACGCACCCACATTCCTGAGTACCTTGAACCTTGTTCTTTGGACCATTGGCTTTGGACTCCCTGACCCTGGACTACGTTGTGTGATTTGGCTGTGGAGCCTGACCTCAGATTACGGTTTGTGATTTGGCTTTGGCATTTTGATATCGGCTCTGCATTCTCTGAACTTCTGACATTCGACTGCCTTATCGGACTTTGCTCTTGAAACCCCCGGGAACGTGACACAGAGCTGCACAACAGGATTTCAACCAATGTTTGTGAACATAGGAAATTCATCTATGAATAGTGCAAGAAAACAATGAATCTTGAAAAGAAAAGCTTGTAGTGCAGATTTCTATGCATGAAGATCTGCCGGCATCCCTTTATCTAACTAACTGGAAAAGCAGAAGCAGGATGTAACCCTGGAAGTTGAAGAAAGAATAAAAGAGCAAAAAGAGGTGGGATCTAGAAACACTAAAAAACAAAACTGGAAAACATACTGAGGCTATTTCTCAGACTATTCCTGCCTCCTCCTTCAGACTTTTTGTTACATGCACTGGTAATTAGCAGTCTACTTCCAGCACTGGTGAGCGCTGGAAACATCTGAGGAGCACATTCAATAGAGGCCTGAAGCTCTGGCATGAGAGGATTAGTAATAATGTTGAGCGAGCGAGCCCTCTGTCAGGAAATCTTGTCTATACCAGTGGGGGAATCCTAATAATTTTCTGTGGAGTCCAATAGTTCCTTTAAACCCATCTAAATCAATATATTCCAATATATTCCAAGCATCTCTTTAGGAATTTCTTTGGAGGTTTAAAAGCCTGAGGAAAATTTTAAAATAATCAAAAGTAATTGCATGTGTGTACTCTGATGGGCACTTATATAACTGCAGATCTCAACTAGATCTTAAATGGAGCTTTGGAAGCCCCATGAATTATGTAGTCTTCAAATGGCCATTTGACATTGGACTGCTTTTGTCCGGTGGCATTTCTGTTGTTAACAGGAACATTCTATTACTTCTGCATTAAATGCTATATAAACTTTCTCAAACTCACGTGATGATATTATCCAAGAGATGGGATTTGAACACAAACTAGTGAGGTAACAATCCCAAATCTCACACTTTTGCAGATCAAAAAGTGCTCCATGCTGGTCAGATTAAAGGCAACCATCACTCAGCACTGAACTGGAAGGCTGAAAGAGAGATGGGAAGCCTTTAAGGTCTAAAAAGGCAGAAAAATCAAACTGACGCATCATGTTACTTTCAACAGAAATTTAAGCTGGCTGAAGTAGTTTTAAGCTGCATTATCAAACGAATGAATAGAATGAAGCTGCTTCCGCTGTGGCTCCTCAGGCCTTATTATTAAATATGCAGGTACCCCAGGGACATTTAAAAGATGGCTGTAGGAGAGGAGGTTCATAACAAATAGCTGCTATGTGGGTGGCAAATCAACTGGCACTTTCTTTCTTTCTTTCTTTCTTTCTTTCTTTCTTTTCTTTCTTTCTTTCTTTCTTTCTTTCTTTCTTTCTTTCACAAAGAACAATGAAAACCAAATTGGGATTTTCCTTCTTATTATTGCAGCTAACTAAGGGCTTCATAACGTCATAAGAATTTTCCAAGGACAAGTCGGACACCACCTTGGAGTTCTTCCCAGGGGGTTGTTTGTTACCAAACACTTTGTTTCCCAAGAGGCAGTCCAATTTAAAGGGGAAACCAGCATGCCTGTTGCATCTTTTGTGCAGACGTACATGGGCAAGAAAAGGTCAATTTTAACCTTCTCGCCTGCTGATGTCGTTCTGGCACCGCACAAAACCGACTAGACAAAAGTATCTCTTGGTGATCCTCTTCTCCCTCGGGGAGAGAGCAGTGACACTCATACACAAATGCATTGTTTGGCCAAACAAAGAGAAGCCTGGAAGACTGAGAGAGTATTCTCAAAACACAGAGATGCTCAAAAATGCACCTTCAGATGGAAGTCGGCAGAATAATAGAACTTGCTAAAATGAGTTCTATGAAGAAGTCCAATTCCTTAAAGCGATTTGAGACAAGAATCTGTATTTGTGTATTTGTCCCTCCATATGTATGTGTGTATATATATATCTCCATGGTTTAACGCCACACCCACTCTTGTGGGTACCCCATGGTTAGGATTTCTTAGCATTGTAGTTCAGAGCATCTGGGGCCATCTGTTTGCAAACCTCTGCTCCAGGGGGACAGAGAAAGTAACTGTTCTACCTGACTAAACCTGATCTCATCTGATTTCAAGACCTAAGCAGACTTTTAAAGGCAAAAAGTAAGGCCTTTCAAATATTTGGATGGGAGTTAATCAGGAGAGGCTCATAAAAGTGGAGACTGTCACCAAATGCAAATCCAAGAGATGCATTTTTCCCCATTCAGCTGTTAAGTAAACTTATGCAGTATAGAAGACAGCTTATCCATCTTCAAGCCTTGGATTGAAGAAGGAATTCTGGCAGGAACAGTTTTTCCACCACGCTGCCCCTTTGATCTGACAAGCACCATCTGCCTATTTGCCTTCTCTCACAAAACTATTAAAGGCACAAGCAACATTTATTACAGAAATAATGATCGCCACATGCAACCTCAGTGTTCAGAGGCAGCTTTCAGGGACTGTAGCCTGTTTCTTTATACATGTGATGTTATTGCACTTCTTTAAACATTTATTGCCTTTATTTCTTTTGGTGCTGATTTATTATTGTTGTTGTTATTTGTTAGTACCTGGTACTAGGTCACAGCAAATTCTTTCAGGAAGGGTAAGATGTTCATGGGCAATTCATAAGAATCAAGGTTTAAGATGCCAAAAACTGCAGTGAACAACCTTTGGTCCCGCAGGTGTTCAACTCTGGCTCCCATCAGCCTCAGTCAGAAAAATGGGAATTGTAGTCCACAAGATATGGAGGGCTACAGGTTCACTAATGTCGCAGTTTTTGAGTGCATCAAACATTGTTTTGGACAGTTTCAAAAGGATATAATTCTAGACCAAGAATGAGGAGTCTATGGTCCACCACATATTGTTAGACTACAGTTCCCTTACTTTTCAGTCTTTATCCTTTCTAGTTAAGGCTGATAGGTTTTAGAGTTCAGTTATATCTTGGCAGATCACTCATTTACTATTCCTGGCCTGGACAAATCCATTAAGGAAAATGCATCTACCCAAGGCTAATGAGTCAGTGGGTATCTGAGGGTGAATTTCTGAAAAATAACAAAGGAGAGGGACACTGCGTTCAATGGGGCTATGGTAGCCTGGTAGCAAGCATGGTAGCATGTTAGATCAGATGATCTTTTGGCTCAATCCAACTGGACCATTTTTATATTGACCCACTGCACCCTTACTCAGAAATCCACTAACAGTATTAGAGTGGCCAGTGAGACCATGAATTCATAGCAAATAAAGACAAGAGGTAGTCAGGGATGCAGCAGAAACATGTCATGTGCTCTGCATAAAGTTCTAGAAAAAAATACGCCATCAGCTTTAATCACTGATTTTCATCTGGTGGAGCAGGTGCATGATTTCCTTACTTTCCAAGCTATGTTTAATGTTTTAAATCCAGCACTGGCAATCTTTCACTGGAACAGTAGCTGTGGAAAGAGTTATATACCGAAGGTTTACTTGGATTCCAGAAATTACACATTTTACAGACATCCATTCTAATTGCCATATTCCATTGGCTAAGGTTGTGATCAGGGGGAGAAAGAGCTCACATTGTGGCACAGTCCAATGAGAGCTATTTTCCGGCAACCACACTGTTGCAGAGTTTTTAATTTCTGGTTAAATTCTTCTAGCTGCGCAGCAGAAGTCCAGGGATTCACAGAGCAGAATAGCTTCAAGTTCCCCGAGTAGTCCTCTCCTCCCCTTTTCTCATCAACTGGCACTTATAGCTTCAATAATTCACTCTGAGACATTTGTGAGAGAAATAATAAAAATGTTTCATTTACTTACAAATTGAATAGATCAAACAGCAAAGTGAGAAATACGACTGCTTTCAGCAAACCACCTCAGCAGATTCACTGCTTCCAGTACACTCAAGAGAGGGAAAGATCTCTCAGCAGATTTTATTTGTTTGTTTTCCTCAAAAGGTCCCGGGGCTCTCTTAGAATTCAGAGGCAGTGAAGGAACAATTGGTTTGTGCTGGATAGATTGACAGTTATTCCAGCCCAGAAAGCTCCCTCCCAGCCAAACCTACTAAAGACAGCATATGAGGTTGTAAAAACTCCAACACATACAACACACAGGAAATTGCAAATGAGCCTAACCCTGCTCCATGCCCAAGATGGATATTTTTGGTCCAGCTGTTTCCTGGAGCCAGTCTGGAGTGATTCCTGTACAGACTGCAGGGTCATTTTAAGGGAGGTCACTCCCAGCAAAATTACACTTTCCAGCGCAATCAGACACGATCCTTTCTTACCATATGATCGCATCCTAAGTTGGCTGTAAGTGGGAACGTGTAGCAATCAGAATTAGAGTCAAGCAGTCTTTAGGTGAGTGAGGAGAATGAAAGGTAAAAATTAATATCGGGGAATGTAGTAAGCTGGTGGAAACATCTCTTAGACTAGAATGTACCAGCCCAGAGTTTATACACCTCAGGAATGACACAGGAAATGAGAAATGTTCCTTGGGATCCTAAAACTTCAAACTTTGAAACTCAGACATATATCTCATAATTTTAATTCAGTCCCCTGTATGAAAGGCTGTGCTGCTATAATATATTTTTTTTAAATCCATTCACATGATGTTATACAAATGCAAATACTGCACGGATGGAAGATGAAACTGATCATAAAAATAAATTAGTGATGCACCAGATTTGGTCTGGGCTTTTAAAAAAAGCTTAAAGCAACTGCCTGCCTAAAGCCTTCTGCAAATTCAATTCTGAAGTCAAATTTGTTAGTTATTAACATGGAATATTGGTTAACTAAAATCACATCACAGCTACAAGTAAAAAATGCATTTTATTCTGTAGAAGGTTGGACCTCTACCCATTTAATGTAGCAGGAGGAATTGAATCTGATCTTCCTGCAAATGCAAGGAACTACATATTCTTTGAAGTTCAAAAGAGAAGGAGGATATTCATCTGCTAGTGAAATCGTTATCAGGAAATGACCGATGTTGCACCTAGACAGGAAATCCAGAGTCAAAGCAGACTACGTAAGAAATAAGGACAGCCATTTCAAAGTTTTATTTGAAGTTTATTCTGTGACGGGGGGTTTTGTTTTCCACTTCCAAGCAGAAGGATCAAAATGCTTTTGTGAAAACTAGTCTTTGCTGAGGTCAATGCATTTCTTTTCATATCCAGCGCTATCCAGGAAGCCACAGGAAAGAGGCCCTTTGTCCTGAGTCGCTCGACATTTGTTGGAAATGGAAAATACACTGCACATTGGCTAGGGGACAATCATGCTCTGTGGGAAGATATGCACCTCTCCATAGTTGGAATTCTGGAGTTCAACCTCTTTGGAATCCCACAAGTAAGTGATTCAGACCAGGCCACATAATTTTACACCCACACCCCCATACAAGTTGCCTACAAAGGGGAAGGTTTTGGATTTTTAAAAAAAAGAATCATTTTTGTTATGGTCTTCCCTTATACTGGAAAGATAAAGAGGGTTCAGATGTTATTTATTTAATTAATTGTCGGCTAAAACTCTAACTTGCCTTTATTCCAGGAGCTCCAACTTATATATGGTCTACCTCAGTTGTTCCCAACCTTGGGTAACCGAGATGTTCTTGGACTGCAATTCGCAGAAATCCTGGCCAGCCCAGCTGAGGATGAAGAAGTCCAAGAACACCTGGGTCACCCATGGTTGGGAACCATGGATCTGCCCCACTATTTTTATATTCACATTGGACACTGGCAGGCTGGCAGATGGTAGTAGATGCCTATTCCAGAATCTTGGGGGGAAATTCTGTGAAGGTGTCAGCAGGGAGAATGTTCTAGCCCTGCCCCCCCCACCTGCCAATGTGTCTATATAGTAAAAGGGACTGTCTGAAGAGGAAAGCATCCTCTTACCCAAGGAATCTGACCCACTATTTTTATATTCACATTGGACACTGGCAGGCTGGCAGATGGTAGTAAATGCCTATTCCAGAATCTTGGGGGGAAATTCTGTGAAGGTGTCAGCAGGGAGAATGTTCTAGCCCTGCCCCCCCCACCTGCCAATGTGTCTATATAGTAAAAGGGACTGTCTGAAGAGGAAAGCATCCTCTTACCCAAGGAGTCTCTCTGCAAGATTGGAAATCCTGAAAAAAACATGGTTGTAGATTGTGCAAAAAACTTCATGAAAAACAAAGTTGTCTCTTTTTCAGACTATCCAGTGACAAGCATGGGAGGGGGCTATAACTTCCCCTGCTCACGCTTTACAATTAAGGCCATTGACTGGCTCAAGTTCACTCAGGTTCCTATCTCTGCGTTGAATTCAACCCAAGTTCCCCAAGTCCTGCAGACAGTTAGTACACCATACATTGGCTCAGCCTACACTGCACTGTTTCTGTGATTGCAGGTAAAAAGGCAAGCCGCGTGGCTGATTTTTGCTTGGAAAGGTATTTATACTCAGGTCCCAAAATGATTTGGGATCATTTTAAGCAAGCCACTGAAATCCCCAACAGAAGAAAAATGTGAGAGTGGGTCTTTTTTCATGACTTTCACTCCCAGACAATTCCAGAAAAAGTTTAATAAATAATTGCATACTCTTAAGTCGGCTCTAACTTCTAGCGACCCTGGACAGGATTTCCTAGATATGAGGTAGTCAGAAATGGTTCACCATTCTCTTTTTCTGTATTGCATACTCTTAAGTTGGCTCTAACTTCTAGCAACCCTGGACAGGATTTCCTAGATACAAGGTAGTCAGAAATGGTTCACCGTTCTCTTTTTCTGGGATGCTCTAAGACTGCCTTTTTCTGAGGAGGCACAGCGGGGAATTGAACTTCTGACTGGTTAAATCTGCAATGCATTCTTTGCCACAATCTCAAACAAGGTTTTCTTTGCCTTTCAAGCCTTTGGGAATGCCAACCATACCTCACAGTTTAAGTACACACTTTTGAACATCAAGAGTTCAAACCCATAACCATCAGATGTAATTAGTTGAATCTAGAAGAGTGGTCCCCAACCTTGGGTTACCCAGATGTTCTTGGACATAAGTTCCCAGAAGCCTTCACTCCCAGCTGTGCTGGCCAGGGTGTCCGGAAGTTGCAGTCCAAGAACACCTGGGTTACCCAAGGCTGGGGACCACTGATCTAGAGATGTTAATGTTGTTGGAGTCTGCAGATCAATTGTGTCCCAGTATGCAGTGGGTGATTCTGTAAATCATTTAGTTCTACCCTGCTATTGGAGCACTATTGTGCATTGGTCACTTCCTGCCCCTCCTCCCTGTGTGTGCCTTGTTCCTTGAAGAAGGCCCTTTTCCAAGATGGGGATTACCTAAGCACATGCTATCTGATGGCTCTCTCTCCATCTACAGTTGCATCCATGCCATCCAGCTTTAGGGGGTGGTTTACCCAGTAAAGGGACATGGTGGCACTGTGGGCTAAACCGCAGAAGCCTGTGTGCTGCAGGATCAGAAGACCAAGCAGTCATAAGATCAAGTCCACACGACTTTTAAAGCTAAAGAAACTTAACTGAAATATGTAAGAAAAATACTTCATTTGTTTTTCACTCAAATGCTATATTTTGACCTTTCCTACTGAAACTAAAGTCTGTAGTTAATAAACCATTTTCTAAAGTTATTACAAGTTAATTCCATGTTTTTGACTCTGTACTTAATTTAGCCCATTGAAGATAATTGGTCAGAACACACAATGATCTCTAACAAATGTAAAATAACTTTCTCTCTGCCCACATGTTCTACAGGGGAGACCCTCTAGAACAGTGGAGGTCTGCGCCTCAAATTTTCATCAGTCTTTAATCCCATTACAATCACGCCCCCAACTCTTTGGGAAGCAGGGGCTGCAGTGGGAAAGAGTCTAAAACCTTGGTGAGATGGTCCAGTTGAGGGCTAGAGGATGGGCTTGTGAGAGGTAAACTGGGACAACTTCTGCTAATATATGATTTCTGATTTTATGCTTATGTGGGCTAAATTAGATACAGTAATTCCATTTGTTGCCTAGAAACAAAGTTATTTGGCATTTCAACACTGACAATTGAGGAATTCCCCTGATCAACTCAGGACACATTAAAAGGAATTAGAATGTACAATTAGGGGAAAAGAGAGAGAGTAGGACAATAACACGATTAAAATGCACATCCTGTTGCTCTTTATCTGACAAACTAAGGAATAACAATCTACCTGTTCTATCTATTCTCTTTACAGGTTGGAGCTGACCCTGTTGCTGTTTATCTGACAAACTAAGGAATCACAATCTACCTGTTTGTAATTTTATGATTTTATATATTTTTATACTGTATATCTGTGGCTTTTACCTTGACACCACCTTTGAACTTTGCTTGCGCTGGACTCAACTGGGTGCATTCTATCCATTGTCCAGGAACCATAATGCGCTTGGTCAAAAGGTAAGCAGGCACTGTGTAGAAACTATGCTTTCTGTCCCTCAAACAGGTATGGAAGATGTTGAATTTACTACTGGTTATGCCAAAGGGATGTGGTGACACTGTGGGCTAAACTGCAGAAGCCTGTGCTGCAGGGTCAGAAGACCAAGAAGTTGTAAGATCGAATCCACACGACGGAGTGAGCTCCCATCACTTTGTCCCAGCTCCTCGCCAACCTAGCAGTTCGAAAGAATGTAAATGCGAGTAGATAAATAGGTACCATCTCGGTGGGAAGGTAAAACTGCGTTCCCTAGTCACGCTGGCCACGTGACAACAGAAACTGTCTTTGGACAGGTGCCGGCTCTACCGCTTGAAAAGCGGGATGAGTGCCGCCCCCCGGTTTGAAAAGTGGGATGAGCGCCACCCCCTAAAGTTGGACACGACTGGACTAAAAATGTCAAGGGGAACCTTTACCTTTACCTTTATGCCAAAGCATCAATGGGATGGGCCTGGGAAGGGGAGTGACATTAATCAAAAGTGGGACAAATTGGGGTGATCCAAAGACCTGTCTGGAACCTTCTTACAGAAGAAAAATATCATTCAGTGTGAATGGAAGGAAAGTTTATTTGAGAGATAAAAGAGATCACACTAAAGACAAGAACTTTTAAGTGCGAAGCAGACCACTCCACCATCCCTTGTATGGACGTGCCCTCACTAGCTTTACATGGCTTTTTTTCCTTCTTCTAATACTCCAAAGAAATACTTTTGTATCATAATAGTAAAGGAAATTGGAATCAACATGAAGTCGATGCTTGTGGAGCTAATTTATATCTCATAACATTAGGGCCTTATGAAAACTTCTTGATCACTTGGTGCAATTGTGGAGAATTACCATCTATGTTCATTTGAGCACCAGTCCACAAAGGCCCACACTCTGGTACATTTATGAATCTTACATAGGCATTCTAAAGTGGAAACGCAGGCATTCTAAAGGGAGTTTGGGACACATATGCCCTAACCCCTCCCCTTCCTCTAGCCCTTCCCTTTCCTCCTCCACATCTATTCCTGATCTTCCTGCATTGACAGGAAAGAAATTTTGGAAAGGCATTCTAATGGCATACAACTGAACACACTTGATGATTTCCATGTGATTGGAAGCCCTGATAAAGCAAGACCTCTGATTCCGCAGAGTTCTGTAGACATTTCCTGCTAAATGCAAGGGGAGATCTTTTCAGAGCTTTCTTTCTCATCAAATGGGGAGACTGGGAGTGGAAGACTGCAAGTGGAAAGACATCTCTGCCTCCTTGTCCATTCTTACCCTTTAGAACACCACAAAAGGTTGTCAGGTGCAATGAAACTTAATGCAGGATCGACAAAAAGAAGGGAAACATTAAATAGCTGAAATCCTGTGGTTTAGCAGAGCAAGTAACACTACAGTAAGCCATTGAATTGGTGGGGATTGGGTAAGTCATCTGCTCCATAAGTTCCATTGATTCAAGTAGGCCTACACTAATGACAACTTGCTATGGTAAAATAAGATGCGAGTAGGCTCCTTTGAATCAATCAATTTTACAGAGGAGTTGACTCATCAAATCTCCAGGGATTCAGTCAAAAAATAACAAACGGTGAGCTTATTGAGAGAACAGAATATCTGTCACTAGTTCAAAACATAAGATGAACAGGATAACACTGCTGTTTTAACAACATAATTAAAATGATATATCTGTATTTTATTTCTCTGGATATTAGCATATAAAAAGGGACTCATTCAAAATCAACCAGGAATAAATGCGATGAATTTAGATCTTCTTTATCCTGTCCTGTCCATTACACCACTCCAGCATTTCTCCTTTTAAAATCATAAATGATAAAGTACAACTGATCAAATGGGTCACTTTTTGAATTTCAAGATAATCACAAAACCTTCTGTATTTGATCAGTTTTAGTTTGTTTGGTTGAACGCTAGGTCACTGATGGAATGAAAATGGTCTTAAATGGGGTTGGAGGTCCCACACTATTATCTTCTCTACACTCTTAGGATGTGGACAGACAGCTGCGCAAAGGTAAATGCAGAAATAGGAATAAATTGGTCAACTTGAGAATCAAACCAAAGTGCTGCTTTTTCACAGGAACAAGACCCTGGAGTGTTTGGGATTGAATTTGCCAGGATTGCCCGATCAACCCTGCAGATTCGATACTCCCTCTTGCCATACTTATATACCCTCTTCTTCGAAGCCCATGTCTCTGGAAACACAGTGGCCCGAGGGCTAATGCACGAGTAAGTTGCTGATTCTTTCCCCCTCTCCATGAAGTACTTTTCATTTTAGATGCATTATTAAGTATTGATTTTACTGAATGCAATGATGATTACAAAGCGGCATTAACAATTGTTCACTTGTGTACAACAGAAGAAAGAATACAGAGAAAATGTAAGATTTATGTCATTAAGAAAGCCGGTTCCTTTACTGCTGCAGGAGCTTTTTGTTTGACGGGAGCCTTGCTAAGTTAAGAAAAAGCTGGACAGTGTTCTCTAAATCACATTACGACAAAACAAAGTTAGCACTGCTCAGTTTCATCTGGGCTCAAGTTATGGAAAACTTTTTGAGATGTAATGGAAACACACAAACAGTATGTAAGCAAAAGAAAAAAGGCACTTAGCCAAGACCTACAGTCATGGCCAAAAATATTTGCATCCTTGCAATTCTGTCAGAAAATGCAATTGCATCAGGTTTGACTTTACTTCTCTGTTTTTTTTTGTCTTGTTCCAATGCAAATCAAAGAAATGAACATGTGAGTACCAAAACATTTGCAACTGCAACAATTTTCTGAGAGCAGGGTTGCATTTTCCGACAGAATTGCAAGGGTGCCAATATTTTTGTTCATGACTGTACATCATACAAACAGCAGCCTTGAATGCTTTACTGATTTGGGAAGGTCAAACAGCAACCTTGAATGCTTTACTGATTTGGGAAGGTTATGCCTTTGGACTAAAAGTCCCAGAATCCTTCAGTCAGTGACATCAGTGGCCATGGTATCTGGAGGATTCTGGGAGTTGTAATCAGTGACTCTCCTGTACTTTGGCATGATTACACTATAAGTAGGATTGCTATATTTATCTGGTAGGCTGGGGTTTACCCAGATAATGCAACTTTTTCTTTCTTTCTTTCTTTCTTTCTTTCTTTCTTTCTTTCTTTCTTTCTTTCTTTCTTTCTTTCTTTCTTTCTTTCTTTCTTTCTTTCTTTCTTTCTTTCTTTCCCTTAATCTCTGTGTGCCAATAATGTACATGGCTGCTTTCTATGATTGTTTTTGCCCCATTTCATTCTAGAAATAACTTTGTAGGTAAGCGTGATGGAGAGGTACTGACTTGCCATATACCATATTTTTCCTTGTATAAGACAATACTTCTCTAAAATATTTAGATTAAAAGTTTAGGGTCGTCTTATACATGGAAGTAAGGAGGGGGAGGGATCAAAGCACTTTGATTCCTGCTTTCCCCCTCCACTTTTTGCAAAGAAAGTGGAGGGGGAAAGCTCTTTCCTTGCAATGAAGTGCTTTCTTGCGAGGAAAGTAGAGGGGGAAAGCAGGAATCATCAAAGCGATCCATCAAAGCAATTCCTGCTTTCCCCCCTCCACTTTCTTCAGAAGAAAGTGGAGGGGGAAGCACTTTCTTCGCAAGAAAGTGGAGGGGGAAAGCAGGAATCAAAGCACTTTGATCCCTGCCTTCCCCCTCCACTTTCCTGTGAAGAAAGAAATTCTGGGTTAGAAAGGGGAGGATCTTATACGTGGGGCCATATTATACATAGAAAAATACTGTATGGTAAGATTCCTGCTTTCCCCCTTCCAAAGAAAGTGGAGGGGGGAAGCAGGAATCAAAGCGCTTTGATCCCTGCCTTTCCCCCTCTACTTTCCTGCAAAGAAAGAAATTCTGGGTTAGAAAGGGGGGGATCTTATACGTGGGGCCATATTATACATGGAAAAATACGGTAAATGATGCAAGTGCTTAAACATATTGGTAGAAAACAATGTAACAATTAATGCTCTTAATTTACATAACATGATAATATGGGCACATAATAAAAATACTATGATTATAGATTTTCAAACTTTAAGATGTAGAATATGGCAACCCAGCCTATAAGGCAACCCATTCCTGTAAACAGCTTTTCATGCAAATTGGTCCTCATTACATACTTCTCAGTATCAATATAATACAGGAAGGATATTATGTAGGGTGGTGCTTCCCTCCTTTGCATCCCCAGATGTTCTTGGACTAAAACTCCCAGAAGTCTTCATCACTAGTTGTGTTGGCCAAAGTTTCTGGCAGTTGTAGTCCAAGAACATCTGGGGGTCCAAGGTTGTGAAGCACTAATGTAGGACATGGCAATGTCCATTCACCACAGAAAATGAGGTAAGTTACTATCAGCTTTGTAGCTAACGTCCTCACCCTAGCATTTAAATCACTGTCAATGTTCACACAGAAATGTTCAACTATACTGAGAAGACACATGTCACAGTGCCCTCCTTTTCCCTTATCCTTCTCTGTCATTATCACCAGCTTCTCATCTGCCCTCTTTGCCAGCATTCAAATTTCTTCCATTTTAAAATGATTAACAAGTGAAATAGCACTGAACTGACAAGACACAATATTTGAATGAGTCCTGCATAGATTTAGAACTATAATGCTAAGCAAGGAGGAAAAAATTACGTTACAGATTGCATTGTAATTGTAGTCCTTACCAGTGCAAGCAAAAGGGGGACTAAAGGAGTACAGTTCCCTTCCATACCACACAGCACTGTGAGCATCACCAGTGACGTCACCTGCACATGCCCTGTAACTGCTCAAAAGGACTGATAATAGGTGATTGCACAAGCTGAAAGCAAGGCAAAACAACATGATTTGAAATGCTGTAAAACAGCACAAGCTCTGCCAGCTGCAATAATATACTGCACACTTGTGAGAAAAGAATGAATCTACTCACACTTAGTGCTAATGCTGTGTAATTGATGGAATAACTATCAAAAGGAACACTGCGAAATAGCACAAACAATGGGACAAATGCTAATTGATCCCTTAGACTTACCAATACTGCTATTTATTGGTAAAGGGCAGAGTAAGTCCTGTGATGAGGTAAAACAAGGAAGCTGTAGCTGGGAGCCTCTGTAACACAGATTTTGTTGTGCTGTCTGTATACAAAGAGCTCATAAGAACATGTGTTTGGAAAAAAGTGCTTCTCTTTAGTGCAAAGCTATATTCAAAAGTTATCTGACATGAACATTCTTACTCTAAGAATGTCATGATAACTAGTTCTGAAAGATAGCATAAGAGGATACATGTTGCATAATGCATGTTAGTTTATTAATATTTATCACCAGCATTGTACTTGTCAGTCTGCAGAGGATTTTACTGTTCTTATTTTATTTTTGTATAAGTATTTACCATACATGAGATAATATTAAGTCACTAGATGCTAGATAAAGAGGCAAAAATATTTATAAGTGCCTAAAGAATAGAGCTCAACCTGCACTGTTTTGAGCCCCTATTATGGACATCTACTTTTTTGATATGGGTTGGTTCACTCTTGTTTAGTCCATTCCCAGCATATGCAATTGCTGGGAATGGATTAAAATTGAGCCTTACACCTGTACAAGTTGCCAAGGCTCCTTCCAGTTTCATTTTGCAGTACAGTAAAGTGGCATAATAAGCATGACACTTCAGGATATCGACAAATTGCACACTTCTCCAGTCCTCTGCAGAGGGGCAAGGGGAATTTTTTTAACTCTGCTAGACCTTTGCTGTTGCACTTAATCACTTAGATGAAATTTAATTTTTTTTCCCCCTTTGCCTTTCTGTGAACTACTGATCAAAACTGCTGCGGTGGGTAGTTTCTCAATTGGCACTACACACAAGAGAAAGAAAACATTTTTAAATTTAATCTTAGTGATTCAATGTATCAGCAATGGTTGGACACAGGTAAAATACATCTCCAACATATAGATGATAAGTCTTTATTCAACGTATTCAATTTCATTGGTGTTAAATACCATTTCCATATTATTTCATAACAGTTTTCCTTTGCCCTAACTGACATCCTCTCTCCAATTCCAAGCAACCCTAGTTATACAGCAGTAGCCCAGAACTAAAGGGTCAATATAGTCAAGCCCTCTACTTCTGAATTCATAGAGAGTACTTCCTCCTGTTACCAAATAGTGTACCACTTGGCCAATCAATATGGCAGGGTACAGGAATGCTTTCCCTAAAGCAGTGGTTCTTAACCTGGGGTTACTCAGGTGTTTCTGAACTGCAACTCCCAGAAACCCCAGCCAGCACAGCTGGTGGTGAAGGCTTCTGGGAGTTGGAGTCCAAAAACACCTGAGTAACCCAAGGTTAAGAACCACTGCCCTAAAGGACTGTATTCCCTTCAAGGTAACCTACCATTGTTTCAGCAGTGGAAACAATTGCCTCTTTATCTCTCTGCCCTTTTCTCCTTCTCTCTCTTTCTTTCCATCTCTCTCTCTCTTCCTCCTCCTGCTGTGCAGTAAGGCAACAACATAAAACCCTTGTAAAATGGAGGGAATGTTTTGTATACTTCAGAGAAAACTAAGCTATGAAGCTAATCACACAATTTCTGAAATCTAGGTTTCCAGCTGACCTTGAGACGCATGGCATAGACAGAGCTTTTCTTTGGGGACCTGCACTTATGATCACACCCGTTCTTCAAGAGGCAAGTACTCTGCTAGTGTAAAATGCTGTGAAACTGGTAGCAGAGAGCCTATCGTTCCTAACCACCATGGAATCCTAGAGCTAGTCAATTTTAATTTGATCCTAGTCAATTTCCTGACAAAACTGATCCAAGTGGATGTCAAGCAGTGAATGCCTGGCCCTTGCTCAGTTGTTTGCAAATTTCCAACAGCTTTGCCTGTCTTGTGATGCTTTTCTGTTTATAGTAATCAGATGGTTGGACTTATTGAGAGGAGGGAAGAGCTGGGAAAACACCCAGAATGATAAAGCAGGTTGAAATCTTTCATAGTGAAATTTAAAACAAATAGATAAATCTTGCTGCCAAACACTAAGAAAAGAGTTGGACCACAGTGAATACTCGTGCCTGCATTTATTTTTGTGCGTAAATGTGTTGCTTTAAGAGCGCCACAAGACATACAGAACATAGTCATGAACTAATTGTACGGGTGCAATGGGCCTCGTGCTTATATCTCCCCCACCTCTCTATAGCAAAGTCAAAAGACTCCATCATAAATTTGCCTTGTTCAAAGTAAAATATCCAATTATCAGAGTTGGTAGTCCGGAGACGAGCCAAGAAGCAAGAGAATTGGAAAAGACAGCATGAAGGCTCAGTGCTAAACAGTGATTTGGTTTCAACAATCAGTCCAGAGTCAGTGTAAAGCCAGGTGAAACCTCATCAGTCCCTAATATTATCTGGCATATGATACTATTTCCTGGTCATGGGGGATGCCGCAATAGCAGTGCAGCAGGTAAACCACTTTCTGCCCTAGTGAGTGACCATGGAGAACATAGAAAAGATTATTCATTAGTCTACAATTCCCAGAATCTCTGAGCGGCTCTTCTAAACTCAAGTTTGAAAAGAAACAAGAACCTTTTTCACATGTTCTTGGGCACTGTTCTCTATGTAGGGCCCCATGGCAGAGTGGTTAAACTGCAGTATTGCAGCCAAAACTCTGCTCATGATCCAGATTCAATCCCAGGTAGCTGGTTTAAGGTTCACTCAGCCTTCCAAGGCTGGTAAACTGAGTACCCAGGTTGCAGGGAGGAGGAGCAATGTGTAGCCTGCATAATTAAATTGTAAACCACCCAGGAAGTGCTTTAAGTGCTATGGGGCAAGATATAAGCAGCACACTTTCTATCCCATGCAGTCCCCTGGCCTGAAAATGTATGTGTTGATTCCCCTCCCCACAGAAATGAGCACTGTCATTCTGGTGTGGCTCAACCATGCCAGATAGAAGAGAGCTCACAATAAGGGTGTGATCACATGGGCACATAGCTCACACTTTGGACCATTAGTAGCACAGTCCAGTATGAGCGATTTCCCAGCAAACACATGTACAGAGAATACTGTTCTAGCCCAACCCTGAGCCAGGTCCAAGCTGGACTTTTTTTTTGGTCCAGCAAAAGGGCTACAACTTTTGAAGGCTGGGCTGAAGCAATTTCCTGATGGATGGATGGATGGATGGATGGATGGATGGATGGATGGGGTCCAGCAACAGGGCTACAACTGTTGAAGGCTGGGCTGAAGCAATTTCCCAATGGATGGATGGATGGATGGAAGGGTTGTTTTATGGGAATTGCTCCCAGCAAAGCAATCCTTTCCAGTACAATCAGACATGCGCCTTTCTCTTAATCTGATGGCACCCTGAGTCAAATCAAGGTAAGACAGTTTACTGCTTTGGTCCTGGTGATATATTAGAAATGTACAAATTAGTGTTAACTCTCTTCTGATGCTTACAGGGAGCAAGATCAGTGGATGTATATTTCCCAGATGCATCCTGGTTTGATTACTATACGGTATGTATCTGTGCAGATTACTCTTCTACACATGCACAAAGCATTCAGTCTTTTGCATAAAATCTCACTGACCTCTATTCAGCTGGCATTTCAGGGTTTTGTTTTAAAGTGAAATGAAAAGTTCCCAGTTTTCAGAGTCATTTTAGCATCTTTGTTCTCCACTGGATTGAAACATAGGCCAGGACCCTCTTGGTTAAACAGGGAGCGAGTGGAGAGTCAATCATGAAAGCATCTTCTTTGTCTGCTCTGATAGGCCTCCTGTCATGTTACCAGTTGCAAGACAGATCTTGGAACTGTTACATACAGCACTGATGTTACCTGTCTGTCATGGGTTGGAGGGAAAGTTCCATCCTATGGGGAGTGGAAGGCGGGACATCAGGAGGAGGGGCTGTACTGTATATATATGTG